ACTACTACATTTGAGAGCCATTGTGGGTATTGCACCTCTCGAATAAATCCTGCTTGTAATAGTTTATTTACTTCCTCGGCTATTATGCGATTCCGTTCAGGTGCGAACCGTCGGTGCCTCTGCTTGACTGGCCTGAACTTTGGGTTAACCCTCAGACTATGGCATGAGACTGTAGGATCGATCCCCACCATGTCCGAGTGATCCCAAGCAAAGACATCCGAATTGCACTGAATGACCCTGATCAATGCTTCCTTCTCTTCGGCTGTGTAAGATGAGCCAATGTAGGTGATCTTCTGAGGGTCTCCGAGGACTACCTCTATAGCTTCGAGGGACTCCTCGGTAGGTGCTTCAGCTTCGGCTTCTTCCTCTGCCTTGAGATACTTGGGCAGAGGATACTGTAACTGCTATTTGATTGCGTCTTTGGGATTCGCCTCTGACTAAGGTGATTTCGACGCTTTCTTTGCTTCATGTAGCGTTAGCATGTAACATTCTTTTGCAGCAACCTGGTCTCCCCAGAGGTCGATGACCTCCCTGCCATCCGGGGATAAACACCTCATTACTTGATGAAGTGTAGAGGGGACTCTGTTCATACGATGGATCCAACCTCTCCCCATAATGAGGTTATAAGATGGATGAATCTCTGTCACGACGAAGTTTTCCTTCAGAGTCCTCTTTGCTGCAGTAACGGATAGATCGATCACCCCAAGCGGATTCACCTTAGTTCCATCAAATCCCATTAGGGGGCTGGAAGTTGGCCTGATGGACGATGGTGAAACCCCCAACTGATCAAAAGCTGTTTTTGTAATGATGTTGGCGCTACTTCCCGGATCTATCAGCACTCTCCTGATCATATAATTCGCTACCAGGAGGCTGATGACCAAGGGGTCCTCATGCGGGCGCTAGACTCTAGAAAGATCATTGTTACCGAATCCAATGTTGATGCTGCCTGGTGCAACCATGTTTACCGAAGACAATCTTCGTAACTTATGAGCCTCTCTCAGCCTGGATCTGTACAACTCTTCAGACTCTTCATCATCCTCTGACCTTCCGTGTATAGCATGGATAACCTTTGCCTGGCCGCCCTTTACCCGTCGAGGGTTAACCTCCCGAGGTTTTACGTGCTCCTTCGTGGCGAGATACTCCACCAATTCTCCTCTCGCTATCATGCTTTCTACCTGTCGCTGTAGGGACCTGCAATCATTGGTGGTATGCCCATAATCTCTATGGTAGGCACAATGTTTGCTTTTGTCCCTCTGCTCCAAGGGTTGTTTCATGGGCTGAGGAGTCGCAAACCTCGTCTTATTCTCTTGGAATAGGCGCGCCAAGGTAGTACGGAGAGGGGTAAGCCTGTCCTCTGTCCTTCGCCTTTTCTCAGATACTTGGGTAACTTGTGTGGCGGTATGAGGAACCTTCTGCATCCTTGTGCTCACAGCTTTCTCTCGAGACTTGTTTTCCACTGTGACGAGGGTAGCGTGCTGTGCACGGTGGGCTACGTTTTCCTCCAACCGAATGTAGATTTGTGCCCTAGCGTTCAAAGTCTGCATATCCGGGGGGGAATATTTGACTAAGGATATGTGAAACTTGGTTCCCTGGATCATTGCCAACTTAAATGTTTCGATTGTCGTGGCAGGGTGGCAATCTGCTATCTCCGAGGCCTCCATGTTAAACCTGGATAAAAAATCTTGCAGAGTTTCTCCCTTCCTTTGCCTTATGGTGAAAAGGCTGGCGATACTTTTCTTTTGCTTCTTATTTCCGCAATACTGGGCTAAGAACATAGTGCACAAGGTCTCATAGTCAGGGATAGACTTGTGTGGTCTATTCCTGAACCATTCTAACGCTGCTCTGGTTAAACTGGTAGGAAAAACCTTACACATCCACGGATCGTTATGATCGTCCAGTGCCATCTTTTGCGCATAATGATCGAGATGCCGAGAGGGGTCTCCTGCCCCATCGAACTGGGTGAAGGATGGCATAGTGAACTTCTTCGGCCTCTCCACAAGGTACACCTTGTCAGTAAAGGGGGTCTTGACCAAGGAGTTCTTGTGCTCTCTAGCCATCTCGGCTGGTGTCTGGACTCTCAAGAGCTTCTTTTCGTCGAAGGCATCTTGTACGCGTGCGCCATCTGGAACGCCATTGGACCATACCGTAAGCCTATGGCTGGACTCGGCCTGTTCAACCTGTGTGCGATGCGGGAGATTATCCGAAGCAACCGCCTCGGACCTCGTCCCTTGCTTTTGCTGAACCTTACTAGGTCGCGCCCCGTTGGGTGGTGTCTCGTTGGCTGGAGGCTCGTGAACTGGAGGTAAATTCCGGGTGGGGGGTGGTGCTGCAGCATCGCCTGGTGGTGGTTGTGGCGTTAGCCTGGCCATGGCCGTGTGCAGCGTATGAGTCTGCTGCTGAAGCGCAGCTATCTGGGCGACACTCGTATCGTTTGCTTGCCGGAGTGTCTCAAATTGGTGCAAGAACTCTTCTCGCATCTTTTGCATCAATTCTATCTGTTGATTCATTGCTGACTCTCCGTTTGACATTTCAGACACGACTAAAGGATTTAATTTGAAGAACAAGTGGGAGTATATTTTTATACGTTTCCCACAGACGGCGCCAAAGTGTAGGTGCAAAATTTCGCTCAACCAATAATGATTGAGAAAAATAAAACAACTCACTCAAAAACAATAAAAATAAATAAGAACAGTGTATAGAGAAGCGTAGAATTGCTTGATCCTTTATTGGAGGTCTTAGCCTCTATTTATACACAAAAGATTGTAAAATTATGGTAGGACTCGCCTTGCTTGCCCTCCAATTCTTTCTATATAACCATTCTTTTCTAATAAAGTTCTTTCCATTGTCGAATTTTCCATACATAGAACTTGCCTTGTACAGAACTTCCTATCAGAATTTTCCTTCTACAGTAAATCCTTCAAATGGTAGGACTTGTGCATTCTTGGGCTGAATATATTTTGATCCGGCTGGGCTTGAGTAACAGGCCGGATGTTAAATACTTATAAGCTGGGCTGATGACTTCTTGATTCGGCCTTGATGGAAGTTGGAGGACAAATAACAATGGTCTTGGGCTGTAAATACCCTCAACTTAGGCCTGAGCATGATAGGCCTTATATGTCCTTGAAATGTAGACATGGGTAGTGGTGACGTGTGCGTTTTTTATTGGAAGGAGTTTTTTTTCCCTCCACAATCATGCAACTCAATTATGCCTCTTATCTATCACCAGTTTTAACCTTTACCCCTTTGGTATTCCCATTCTTGCCTGTATACCTGCCAATTGCCACTCCTTTGTGTGGCTGTAAGCTATATTATTACTTAACCTTCTTGTTGTTATACGTCAATATGAGGAGACCTTTTTGTTTGTTGCATGATTCCATCTGGAGGAATAAGAATTGCCGTTGACATCTTCTTTGGTTGAAAATATCAGGTAGATAGTTTACTTTTAGGGTAAATGGCTCTGCAGTTGAGTTTTCTAAGCTTTTAAAGAACAATCACGAGTCTCCAAGTGGCGGGCCTAGAGAGACCATTGTCCAACGAAGTGGGTCAGCTGTAATGACAAATTGCCTTTTATAAAAATATGTGACCATGTGACGTGCATGTATATCGGATTCCGAATGCTACCTTAGAAATGGTTTAACTGTTAGGCACATTGCGTTTAGTAATTTAGAAATAATGAACTCCATATTGGCCCATGTATGTGTCATTATCTCTGCTCGATGGTGGACGATAAGCCCATCAGAATTCACTAAAAAAAAAAAAAAAAGGAAAAAGACCGGTAAGCCCAACAAAACTAGAAAAACAGAGTGCAAATGTATACTAATCAATGAAACTTTTATACTTCGAATATCTAAGAAATGGGTTCAGCCAAAAGAAAAAAAAATATACGCATAATATAATTAAATACCTGATATGTCAACTTTATGGCTTGGACATGCTTTACTGTTGTGGGGCATTGGGAAAATCGTCTCTCTTGACCTTCATCAGCAATGACAAAAACAAGTGATTAGAAACCTTTTCTTGTGCGCTTAATTATCTAAGATAATATTATGTAGCCTCTGTATCACTTTTCAAAGAGGCATACCTGCCCTGTAGGGTTTAAAAACCTATATTTATAATCAAAGAGCACAAGGGCTTTTGTGTCATTTAGCACATGCATGGGCTGTACTGGTTTATCTAACGTGAATTGAATTATAATTTGTATCTTCGTCTTATATTTGTTGCCTGGTAATTTATGAAATAGTGTAGCATTTCTACTTTGTGAATCATCAGTTATCAACATAACAATAGAAGGAAATTTTTAAAAGCATAAGATAGGCTTCTGTTTGTCTTCTTTTCAAATAGGTTTTTGTGCTCTTGTAGTCGTCCCATTCCAGTTCTTGTTTGAGGTCCTTTATGTTGGTTCAATAATGTAGATTTGGTTTCTATGTCGTACAATTTGTCTCTTTCTGAATAGTGATAACTTCTATGTTTGTGTCCCTTAAAGATTGTTTGCCAACAACATATAATACTGATAAAATAATACAAAATGTAATTGTTTATAAGAAAGTTCAGAAAGAAATCAAGAGAAAAGGTTGAAAGACCAAATCACACTTGCATTGACATAATAAAAAATAAATGTAAGTTTTAAATTAATGGCATATAATAGAACACACACTGCAAGGCTTGGGCTTGCATTATCAAAATAAAGAATAAGTGGTCTTAGTGTAATGGCATAGAAGAGAAAGCAGGGCACTGCACTCTTTTGGCTGGGTCAAAGCATCTCAAGTTGCACAATTGAATATTTTACCCCCCACACACACACATACACACACACATCAAAGAAGAACTTCGATATAGTTCCGTATATGAAATTGAAAAGAAGAAATAACGAAGAGGTATGAACAAGCACTAGAGTACCCTTTCAGCTCTCTCCCTGTGCTTTGTGATCTTTCATTATTTCTATATAGATGGTGCAATACTGCTTGCATAAAAGCAGTAGAAGATATCTTGATAGATAAAAAATGGCTAGGAAGCGAAAGGCTGATGGAGTAGACGAGAAAAATTCTGATGAAGGAAACTTGGCTTGGGATGAGGTGGTGAAGGATGCAGCTGCCGTTGCAACACTTAGTGGAGCCTCGCGATCCCGGAAGAGATTCGTGGGGGTACGACAAAGGCCATCGGGCAGATGGGTGGCTGAAATAAAGGATACTATACAGAAGATAAGAATGTGGTTAGGCACTTTCGATACTGCTGAGGAAGCAGCCAGAGCCTATGATGAGGCTGCTTGCTTGCTTCGCGGTGTCAATACTCGCACAAACTTCTGGCCTTGTCATCCATCATCTTCTTTGTCTCCAGCCCTACCTTCGAAGATTACTAACCTTCTCCTCCATAGGCTTAAAGCAAGAAATGAATCTTTAACTGCTTCATCCACTTCTTCTGTGCCCATCAACCAACAGCAGAAGCAAGAAGGAGAATTTAGAGATGAAGTAGCTGACTTTTCAGATTCCCAATTCACTGATTTCTTCAATGATCCCGAGGATTGTACCACTGACAACAATCCAATCCCCAATACTGATGGGAGTAATAGTGATTACAAGGTCAAAACTTTTGAATCATGCTTAGCTGAAAAAGAAAATTATAGGGTGAGAGAATTGGATTTGGACTACAGTTGGAGTGATGTTATTCAGTCTTCCAATGCTGATAGTAACATTGTAGGGGAAATAGAAGAAGATGGGAAGGAAGACACTAATCTAGGGGCTGTGGATTTCCAAGTTGGATCATGGAACTGTTCTCCGTTTGAGATTGCTCAAGATATCACAGAGCCTGTCGAGCAGGAGGATTATTCACACGAGCCATCTATGCTCAGAGAGGCCATGAAGACGATGAACTATGAAAGGAAGTTCTCAGCTTCTCGATATGCTTTCAAAGGAATACCAGAGTGCCTGCAGTTTAAGATTGGCTCGGGCAGTGCTAAGTGGAGAGGATGGTCCGATCAGTTGACCAACCTCAGGAATGCATCCTCCAACAAGAATCAAGACGAGAAGAAAGTGGAAGAAGAAGAAATGGCTGTGATGGAGAAGAAAAAGGACAGCCCACAAACTTCAATTGATATGGGGTCTTCTGCTGGTGTTGATGATGAATTGTCACTTTGGAGCTCCCTTGATCTCCCACCCATCTGCGTTGTTAATTAATCAACCGGTAAGAGTCTTTGATCCTTAACATTATATCATGCTCTGATGATTGAGTAAACAACAATATTTCACACTTGAATATTTATCATCTGCGGATCTTTTCTTACAATGTGCAAAATTTCTGTAATGTCATCTTTCTACTCGGACTGCCATGTAATTTTCTTTCCTTGTGTTCGCGAGTCTTGAATATTTGGGATAATTGGGGGACAATGAATATGGAAATCAGAGTCATGATGATCATCTGATAAATATCAGTAAGAATTCTAATGAATTTTTTTTTTTCTGCTGGGCTTTTTTATTTTCTAGACATTAGTCTTCTTTGAATTTACACTACAGGTTAGTTTCCGTGACGATTATCTGCTAAGATTAGATTTTTAAATACATAAGTTAGTTTAGCTCTATTGGAATTATAAATACATGAAACAAAAATTTCAATTGGAGGTTTCCAGGAATTTACAAGGGCAACAAGTTCTTTGACGGCTAAGATTATATTTTGATTCGGATCCTCTCTAGTACACATCCCCTGTCCTATACTTTACAAAATGATACAAGGAGATGTCCTCGAAGAGTTTCTGCTTAGAAATTTTTATTCTTATAAAGAAGAATTTAAAAAATATATATGCTGTTACTTACTTTAGACTTTGGGTAGCAATTAAAACCAGTAGAGAGGCTCAAGAATGCTGTTACTTATTTCTTCTCATCTGTAAATACACTTATAGGGCAAAAAAAAAAAAAAAAACAACAAACAAATAAATAAACAAATAAACTGATTAATCAAAGTGACAATATGTTGATCAATTGATATATTTATGTGACCTCTAAGAATATTTCTAAAGAAAAAGGAAAGACAAATGGATATAAACGACTGTTAAAAGTCACAGCCTCATCCTTGCCGTGCATTTTCCGCCTACTCAATAAATCATATATAACGGTCAAGTTCTTAGCTGATGTTAGAATGACAGAGACGTAAACGGTCCAATTTAGCACAACCTTCAAATTGGGCCCCAAGATGAACCGAACCGCTCTAGCCCAGAACCGTATCACAATTTTCAGTTTTAAAACATAAAAGTTCAGAAAAAAATATGAAATGATGTAAAAAAAATTGTAATGAGAATTTATTTATATAAATGTCTGAAGGTACCTAAAACAACTTCTACCCAACGTTATCCAGTATTAAATCATCAATTTTTTTTTTTCAAATGTTTTATCCAAAATTAATATATATTTTAAATACAATCAATATAACTCAATGTAGTCAAGTAACTCAATTATACTTGGTAGAGTATTTAACTCACCGAACAAGTGTATCTGCGTTTGTGGCAAGAAACATCTACTTTTTGTCCCTACAAAGACTTAAACCCCTTAAACCTTCTACTTTAGAAGGTGGGTGAGTTTTGTATTGGGTGCATGGCACAAATGATTAGCCAAACTAATTAAATTTAACAAAAATACATTTCTAACATTTATTTCTGAAATAAAAATGAGAACATGACTATACAAGTTACAGCATTCAATTCTGAAAGTGAGGTTGTCACCTCAGTATTAGGCTAAAATCAAATGACATATATTTTATATTCTATTTAAAATGAGATAGGCCAAGCAACAATGACATTTGCCATGAGAAATAAATGTTCAATTTCATATTCAGTCTTTAATTATGTCACAATTAGTTCTTATATTAATGAAAAAGATCTTCTAAAATCTTAATTACTCCCAATAAAATTTAGTAAAGTTGATGACATATTTTGCATCAGCTATCAAAATTTTGGGTTTTTGGGATGTATTACACAATAAAATTATAGTCTGCTACCATGATAAAAGTCTAAAACATTAATTCATTCTCTCCAAAATAATGTTGTTCAACTTTGCCATATTTTTTAAAGTGTCATAAGCAATAAGAGAGACCGATTTACCATCAAAAGTTGCAGTTAACGTAAAAAGCTCACAGTTCAAGTTTTCATAAAAGTTGAGTGTGTGAAATTCTTGTCAAAAGTAAAAAAAAATTAAAGTTAAAATAATAAAATTAGAGAGACTATAGTCTCAAGTTCTCTCTCTCTCTCTCTCTATATATATATATATATATATATATATTTCGACAATTGGACCAATCTTACCAAATAGTTATAGTTTTTTTTTTTTTTTTTTTTGGGATCTAATAGTTAATAGTTAAGGGTGGCAATATTTGACCCAGCACGAGATAAGAGGATTTGAATTTGGACTAATCGTAATCGTATCGATACGGATTGACCAACAAACTAAACGTGTCATTCTCGTGTTTGACCTTGCAAATACGATTAGGACCTAATTCACTAAACGTGTCGTATTCGCATCAAAAATTACTTAAATGTATACTTTCGTGTTGTACCAAATTTTGACCATTAATTAAACAAATTACGCGTGTCATATAATATTACACCTATAATAATCATGTCGTGTTCGTGTCAAGGATCTATGACACGATTAATATTAATTGTGTCGTTTTCGAGTTCGATTTGCCACCCTAATATAGTTTAGAAGAAATGTGGAAAATCAAATTTCCATCATATATCTAAATTAAAAACATAAGGCTATCAAACACTGGTGCAAGTTGTAACAATGTTATAGTTTAACTCGATGAGGCCTTTTTAGAGTATATATTTGCTTCAACGTTAAATTGATAACCACCACATATTATATGCGATCACAATCTTCGTGCAATCTACGTATCACTCCACCTTAAAATATACCAATTGGTGGGGAAAAAATAAAGGTGTCATATCCATATACCACAAGGGTATAAGAATATATATACAATGCCATAAAAGTAAACTACAATCACACCACTTAAAAAACCAACATCTGGGGTAGTTATCTTTTAGTTTTCGGTAGTTGAAAGCAGAAGGAAAATATGAACCTAACCCATAAAACAACACTTGAAATTCAAATGAAAATATGGATATTAATGTCTCTCTCTCTTTCCCTGTCTCTCTCATATTAATATGCATATATGCAATTCATTTCAAGCTCAAATCCAATTCTTCAACCAACACCTAAATGGAACAACCCACACATGCTCATATGGAGAAACCAGTGAAGATCATGAGGAGATCAATCTACACATTTCTGCAATACTACCAGTACTTCACCACCCGCCCAGTTCTTCTCATAATCCCCTTCTCTGCCTCAGTCCTCCTCTCACAGGCGGTTTTCGCCTCTTCTCCGCCGCCACTTCTGATCATCCATGGCTGCTATAATTCCCTCTTCCATACTCTAAGATTCTCTTCCCCTTCACAGTTCGTCTCGCTTCTCAATTTGAATCTTTCTCAGACCATATTCACCTCTGTTTTTATCCTCCCTTTTGCGCTCACCTCTCTAGTCATCGCCAAGTCGTTTATAATTCAAGCTCTGATTCACCACAAATCATCTCTCCCACTACCCTCTTCGTCTTTCAGACCAGTTTACAAGCCTTTGCTCCTAACCCAACTCTGCAATTTGGTCCTCATCATTATTGTCAACGTGATCGCCTTCTCTGTTCTATTTCTTGTCTTCCAATCACTTGATGCATTTGGGTTCTCAACAAACAACCTTCTTGTCCTTGTCTCTGCTAAAACTGTTTTCTACTCCTTCATTGCCAACGCCGGTGTCATATGCAACCTAGCTTTAGTGGTAGCAGGGGTGGAAAATTGTATTGGGTGCATGGCAATTTGGAAGGCCTGTTTGTTGAGTTGGAAAAGGAAATCAATGACACTCTCGATGAATCTTCCTGTCAATTTGAGCATCCTTGCTATTGAAGGCTTGTTCAAGTATCGGGTTGTCAGGGCTTATCGTCTCTCGGGAAGGCTTGGTCCTTCTATGGCTTTGGAGGGGATGCTCATTTCTTACTTGTACTCACTCCTCATTGTCCTTGACACAATAGCAAGTTGTCTGTTCTTCAAGAGCTGCAATACAAATTATCAGACCGATAACACGGAGGGAATATATTATTACCATATCAGAATTGTCAAAAAGGATGACGGCAATTGTTCTGCAAACTCGGAATTTAAATGTTAGTTCCATGAATGGCTTCATGACCACCAACTTGACCATCCAAGAAGATGGAACATACTTGTGAAGGAATTTGTTCCAGTGGAAAAGGAAGAGCGAATTAACTTGTCAAAATACAAAATAAGTGATGAATATAAGCCATAGTCTCATATGTTTTGTACTCCAACCTCTATTCAGTTCTCTATTTCCTTGTAAATTAAGTGGCAGCTCTAGCAGGTAATGTTAGAGAGCTTACAAAACTTTCTTACTTTGTTTCTTTGGCATGTGAGCAAGAATTTCAAGCACCGAAAGTGTTGCAGCTGTGACTTTTCAACTGAATTATCTTTTTCCAATCGCTAGTGCCCTCTAATTAGTTTGTGCTACACTTCGAATTACCAACAAAAACAAAACACTCTATCAAGTCATTTTCTATTATGCTTCTCTCCATTTAGTAATTTTGGTACATAATATGTAACTAAAGGTGCCTTTTAGTTTTCATCCTTAGGAAAATTAAAATCATAAAATTTCATTGGACCATTTTCTACTAACTAGGGAAGAGCATGTGCATTTGCACGTGATTATAAATCTTTAACGAATTATAAAATATTTATTTTATCAGAAACGGGTAAAAAAAGAATTAACTTACAGGACTTGGTTTATAAATCAACATTGTTGATCAAAATTTCTAAAACACATGATCCATATATAATAGAAGAAAAAAAAAAAACAGATTGACAATCAAATAGCATAGGGACACAATATGTGAATTATTAGGGGTCAAATTCGTAACATTAATCAGTGTACCTACTGAATGACCATTACTTCTTCTAAACAATCTCTCTCGATATATGTGTGAGATATATATATTTTGTAATTAGCTAATTTCGTTATTAAAACAAGTCCGATCGAGTTGTAAAATTTCAATTCAGAATTTCAAGATTGCAGATCGGAAGCGGATTTGAAGAAGTTCAAGTGTTCATACTTTAATACACTCTGGGATGATGAAAACAATACTTTAGAAATATATGTGAGTGTGTGAGAACACTTGAGAAGTTTTGAAAGTTCGAAACACAAGTTTTTAGGAAGTATTTACATTCTGCCCAACTTGAACTAGTTCAAGAATTTTGGAACAAGTTCAACTTTTGAGATATTTTGGTTGAATTCAAGTCTGGCCAACTTGAACCGGTTCAACCACCCTGAACCAGTTCAAATATCACAGAAAGGTTAGATTGTTTTCTTCGAAAACTTACTGGCCAACTTGAACCAGTTCAGGGTGGCTGAACCGGTTCAAGGTCTTCTGACAGCTTTGGTAACTTTAGTTTCCTAATCTATTTTGATTCCTATTTGGTATATATTTCCTTCCAAAATCCTATGCACGAATTTGACTTGGTTTCCAAGCATTCGTCTTCCAAACTTCTATATAATCTCTCTTTCATTCAACACTGTATGACTTTTGGGAACAAAAATTCATTATTTTGAGAGAGCCTTTTGAGAGATATTTTTTAGAAAATCAAATTTGATTTTTCTGTTTCTGTTTTGAGAACACGCACATGTATACATGAGTGATTTAGTAGTGTTGTTCTCTATCTCATCCGAATTAGAGCATAATTGAAGATTCAAAGATTCCGAAAAGCAGATATATTTCTTCAACATCAAATACAGATCTTGAAGAAAAAGGGTGAAGCGATCACACTTTGAAAGGGTCAAAGCATTCGAGGAGTGTTGTTAGATCTACCAGCAATCATTCTACAGAGATCAAGAGTAAGTCTGGAGTTAAGAGCTGTTGGACGGGACGTTGCAAAGTCGGAGATTGTCGACGATTGGTTTTTGGTAGAACGATAGGATGTGAGCTTGAATCAAAGTCCATTGTACTTTGTTTCAAACATAGTGGATCGTTTTGCTCTGGACTGCACAGTTCACGGGGTTTTTCCCACAATAATTAGTCTATTCTGCCAATTGGGATTTCCTTACTAAAAATCCTAGTGTCATCTTTCAAACTTTACTTGCTTATTTGTCTTTGTGATTGTGGATATTTAATTGATCATATTGCTTCGGTAAATTAATCAATCACAAAATTGGGCAAGTTGTCTCATCTAGGTCATTTAGGGATTTAATCACGACTAAATCAACTAACAGCTTCCGCACCGCGTAACTCACAATATGTGCTATATGCATGCATATTATTGAACTTCTTGTAGATAATTATTCTCCATAGATGTGCCATATGCTTGTATATTATTGAAAATAAACATGACAAGTGAAATCATACGTAAACTTTAGAATTCCTTCATGAGTAACAAGACAAAATAAGAAAGATGGTAAAAAAAAAACAAATAAATAAATAAAAAAAAAACAATCAACTATTACGTAAGGAACTTGCCAAGATGCTCGGACCAATTATACAAACCTCTATTATCATAAGGCTTACCGCCCCCCTCTTTACGTTTCGTCCCCTGCAACTATTCCTTCATGAATTTAGCCAAAGCTGGACATCCGGTCCATCTAAAGTGTTGGTAACAAGAAAATTTGATTTCTCCTTGGACATTTTATGCATAGCCAAAAAGCAAGTTAAACATATTACTATTATTATTATTATATATCTCACTATGTTAAAATTTAATTATGTTGAATTTCATCAAAATATTATATTAGATTTTATCTAAAAATGCATATATTACTTATACAAAATCAAATAAACAAATATAATCAATAAAAACCAAGAAAAAAAAAATAGTTAAAAAATAGTGATAGTTTCTAATATATTATTTGGAAATAAATGAAAACTTTAAACTTATCTGGCTTCAAAATAAGAATAATTTGTCAAATTAAATTCAATAATTCAACCACAGGCAAATGTGTGAATATAAATAAGTTGAATTTATCATCAGAATTGAAGCAAATGCAACAACAATAAAAAAATAATCATAAAAAATTTAATAATCATTTTCTTCATTTAAAACCAAATTGTAAACAGTTAAGAGTTGGAGTCCATTGAGGGCACATTATGAGTATGGATGTGTTTTAAATTTAACTTCCAAAATAAAATAAACAATATGGTGAATGGCCTTAATAAGGTTTTCTTTATCATTCGATTGCTGAAGTATTAGGTTATAAACAACTTGCAAAGTTGTTAGAAGCTAGAAATTGATCCTGATGGTAACTGCCTGAAGGAGCTCAGCACTGGTAAGGCATCGTCCCCATGTACACCAATTTTTTGTTGGACCAAGTAAATGTGCTCTAACAGGTCCTTCGTTCCATCAAAGGACGTAAAGTTTGGCATCATAAAGGTTTTGCCAATTGGAGGATCTCATAAGTGAAGAGGGACTCCGACATGCTTGACGACACTTGAGCGGCTAGATCGGTGGAGTGAGCGGTGAAGGGGGACTCCAGCATGCGTGACAACACGCTAGATTGGTGGAGTGAAGGCATTCAGGTATTTCATTTGCTCCTTTACTTTTCGGTCTGGGTTGAGAATTTTATCAAACAGTTGGTCTGCCATTGACCCCCACATTATTCGCCACCTCGGTTTAGTGGTTGAGGTGGCGGCGGCATCTCTGCCCGCTCGACCCTCGCTTAGAGTTATGCGTTCTCCCAGCAAAGAGTCTCGACTTTTAGGGAATTTCTTCAATTCCCATAGACGGCGTCAAAGTATAGGTGCAAGAAATTCTACGGACTATTCATAGCCAAATAGAGCTTCGATAACCTACACTCAATAGTTCAAAAATGAAAACCATCTCCCCTTTTTTCCCTTTTTTCTTTTCTATTTATACACTTGTTAACCCTACTAGAATCCCTTTCTTGGGCTACAAGTTGAGGTTTAATGGGCTTTTCCAATGGGCTCCTTTGAGCCATCACGAGTTTTGTATTTGGCCCAATTGCTCTGTCAAACTGAAAACAGTCCATTCTTGCCTTGGGGCCTTTCATCTGCTTCGTCGATTTTGATTCATATTTGGTGTGGGCTGGCGTTCTCGACACGTGGCGTGTTGTGACCGGTGGCGTTTACTGTACAAGCGCCTCTGTCTCATTGGAGGATCTACACTCGTATTTTCCAAAAACTCTTTGAGCATCTCCAACTGTCGTGTATATTTGTCATAATAGATTTACACAAAAAAAATTGGATTATTTATTTTTAGTTCCAGCAGTTTTTTTATACCTTTTGTGTAAAAATATATTCCCCCAATAACAACCAACCAGTGTCATACCTAGACCCCACATAATTTTTACAAACCTACTTAATATAGGGTTGATTCGTTAATCGAATGAGAAAGAGGGAGGAGAAATAAAATATGTTGATATGGCTGTGTAAAAAGGTTGTGTAACACAACAATTTTACACATTGGTGACATGGCAGTGTATCTTAACAGAATGCTGGAGATAAAAAAAAAAAAAAAAAAAAAAATTTACACGTCATACGTGACAATGTATATTTTACACAAAAGAGTATTTTAACATACTACTGGAATGCTCTTAATTAGTATTTGTCTTATCCTCGTACTCAAAAAAAGTTCATTACATTGACCAAAGCTGACAGCTGATGTGCCAGAGTGCCCTAACAGAGAAGAAGAGGAGCTAGAGACAAATACAGTGATGAGAGATCAGAAAACCAAAAAACAAAAAAGGGGGTGGGGAATACATGTGTATGTTTTGGGAAAGGGTGGGGGAAGAAAAGCCAAATGTTGCCAAATATTCTCTACCTAGGTATAACAATTGAAATTATGTAATCCTATCAACAATACTAAAAACACCAACCCCATACTAGGAGTTGGGGTTTACTTGAGCAACTTTATGTTAACATGCAATAAATTGAAAACCACCTCAAAAGTTAAAGCATACATTAATGTCACACAGGAAAAGAGGGGGGAAAAACATTACCAAATAACTAGATGCAAACAAACATTGGAAACAATCTGGCAGCAACTCCACAAAGAAAAAAAGAAACAAAAAAGGACAAGAAGCTTCTTACAAGATTTCAACCTCCCAAGGACATTTTCTTCGCCTCACCAACTCTTCTCCCAACGCGCAAAGAC